TTATTATTAGTTACTAGTTTTATTAGGTGCTGCGTACTGTTGTAGTGTAGTACTGATAAAACATAGAATGTAAGAGGTTGGTATATATTGTACCTAATATGAACAGGCTTTGTGATTGGTTGATCATGACAATACAATGCAATAATCAAAAATAATAAACATTTTCATATTAGGTACATTAGTAGACTTGGATCAAGTCCATCTCTCCAGAGTCCGAGTCGCGAAGCAACGAGATCGAGCACATGCCGCGACACCTCGCATGCCCGATCCCTCAGACTCTTGAGAGACGGACTTGATCCAAGTCTAGTACATTAGATACAGTACTCTAGAGGGAAAAGGTGCAACACTTACAGTACTGCTATCTATCATCTATGCTTTGAACAATTAAATTGGATATTGGGGGGGGGGGGGCGGCAAAATTCATGGAACCAACAGATTCCCTTCCCTCATCACTCTTATAATATGTCTGTCTGTAAAAGGTTTTCTTGTTGAATAGCAGCACTGTCAATAGGTAAAATTAATTAAAAAACAAGAGTTGCAGTGTCCTTTTATTATGTATAAGCTACCCAAACGTTTAACCAACAACCTTGTAACTTTTTAAAAAGCAAAACAATATCAATGTAGTTTATAAAGTGGACTGAGTTATAACATCATATTACAAGCTAGGGATGTGCCGGATACTGTTTTGCCGGATACCGGATAGTACCGGATAGTAGTTTACTGGATACTGGTCAGGAGAAAATGATGACCGGATACCGGATAATAACCAGATACTCCCATACAATAATTTATTAGAAACACAACATTTTTATAGCTTTATTAACTAGTCCAATGTGGCAATGTGTTTAACACAATAACTTCAAGAGTTTTTTGTCTCTTTGACCTATTTGTCTTTACCAAGGGCATATCTTATGATTCACCTTACATTGTTTACTGGTATTCAGTATATAAAATTTACCGCTGTTGGCAAACGAGCAGTTCACATCACCATCACAAAAAAAATATAATGTCATCATTTAGTTGTAATGCAGCATACGCTCAGTAATTGTTCGTGTTTCACAATTTTTAAACGCCAAGTAAACTTTTCTGTTTCATGATTGTAAAAAAAATCTTACTGTACTATCCGGCAAATTTATACCGGATAGTGCTGGATATCTAAATTTTATCGGATACCGGTATCCGGATCCGGCACATCCCTATTACAAGCATGGTCTTCTCAAATAGTGTTATGTTTTAGAATATAACAGAATACCACATTACATTAGTTGACTTAATTTTAGACAACTAAAATCATTGCCTTTTTTATGTACCTAAGAAAATGTTGTTATATAATACCAGTCAATGATTTGTGAGGACAACTTTTTACATACATTAAACAAATAATAACGAAAGACAAAAATGATAAACATAGTTTTCAGACATATCAAGGCCAAGTAGGTCATCATGTACAGTGCACTTAGGGCATGAATATGCCTCCTTGCATACTCTACAGCATAGATGTGGTGGGTCCAGGGATTGTGGTTCTTCAACGTCAAGAAATTTCAGCAGCATAACTCTTAAGCAACTTTCATTGTTGCGACAATAATCCCTTACTTCGTCTTGCATTTGCCGGTTTTTTTTGCCAATATCTTTATTGTTATAATACAAAGTGGTTTTAGATGCTTTGCCATCTCTTCCTGCCCTACCAACCTCTTGAAACAATTCACGTATTGTATATGGTGGACTTACATGAATGATGTTGTGAATTGATGGAATATCAACCCCCATACCCATAGCCACTGTTGCAAATACCACTCTAACTTTAGATGTAGGTAGTCTCAGCTGTTTTATTATTTGATCCTTCATACTATTTGTTTGTGGTGCATGATACTGGGCGAATAACCTGTTTTCAAGCTTTGCATCAGAACCCTCTGGGAAGTATTGATGAACTCCAAGTACATATTCAAATAATCGGTATGCAAATCCACACCATTTAAGACAAAGATAAATTATTGTAAGTGGATAAGATAATTTGTGTAACAATAAATTCTGAGCTATTGGTTTCAGTATACCTTCAATAGCATCCATGTCTGGTCCATCTCTGAAATATTTCTCCAAGAATATGTTTTTTCTGTCAGGGTTAGCTGTTACTTCACAACATTTTTTTAATCCAAGTGAATCTTTTATATACTTTCTGTCCACTTTGTTCGCTGTTGCTGTCAGAGCTAACACTGGAATGTTAGGAAATACTGCACATAACATCCCCAACCTGCAGTAGTCGGTTCTAAAGTCACTTCCCCTTATAAAAAGAAAAAAAATGTTTACTAAAAATGTTATTTAAAATGAATAACTAAAAATCAGTAAATAGGCTTTAGATGATAGCTAATTAATAAATAGGCTGGCTTTATATATGATAAAATTCAAGAAAACATTATAGACTCTGTGTCATAGATGCATGGTAATAATAAAAAAGCTAATCTCCTGCACTTTCTCATCATATAAAATATGACATAATACATACAGTATACAACGATTATTTTATCCTTTTATGATTGTAATATTTTCGATTAAATATGATCATGGTGATTTAATAAATACAAATATCATAATTTTAGCACCTAATTGGTTAATTAATTTGTTTTTGGTTTTTTAATACTGCCTATGTCAAAGACAACGTTTGAATTGAGTTTATACGATTTTACAATAAAATTCAAAGAACTAACCAATCTAATATGCAGTGGGCTTCATCCACAACAATAGCGCCAATTTTCTCTTGGTATATTTTGCTTTGTAGCACGTTTCTTCCGTATTTGCATGAGATGAACGACTCTGGGTGCGCAAATACAACGTCGTATAGTGCACTTTCAAGTTTTGCTTTATGACCAGATCATAAATTTATCTCAGCTTCAGGACATTCTTCATCACCAATGTATTTCCACGACACACTTAACACGGACGATTGTAAACCGAACGAAGCTAGTCGGGAAATTTGATTGTTTATCAGAGAGTCAAGCGGAGAAACGACGATGATAATTTTGCTTAAAATCTCCTTGTTCATTCCCTGTAAACTCTCTTCGGTAATGGTCTGTTGTTTGTACTTGTGGGTCAACAACGGTGGCAGTAGGTGAAAAACCAAAGATTTTCCGTAGCCTGTTGGAAGGATTGCTAGAACATCTTTTCCCAAGAATATATATTCCAAACAAATGACTTGCTTTGGCTTTAAACATATATTACTATATACGCTATCAATAATGGCAAAATGAAGACAAGAAAGGAACAATCGACACTTCGAATCTGGTAACATGCTGCTATTGCGATTTTGCAAATCGTTGATCAGAAAATGACAAATTCCCAAGGGACCCTTACACAGGTATACTTTTTGCCACCCAGAATTTAGGGTACACATGACCAGCCCCAGCCAGGGTATTTTCTCCAGCTAGGAGCGTAGAGGAAAGAGCCTGGGTACGAGGTTGTCAAATGTACTATAATTTTATGGGTAAAACTGAACGTTTTAAGAGTAGCCCAATCAGCTATGCTGTTAGCAAGTACAATGAAACATTGTTTGGGTAGTTTTAGCTTTATACCTTTATAGATCTATTTTATACTCCTGTTATACGTTTTATACTCCTATTATACGTTTTATACTCTTAACATAATCTTATTTCTTGTAATGTACATAACAATTTAGCTTTTAATTGCTATTATATTTGTGCAAATTTTCTAATAATAATGATAATAAATGGGAATCCATCATAATCTTTGATATAGGAAATCCAGTCAAGTTATCCATATATTACTGACTTGCGACACAGAAATGTTTATCTTGTAGCAAGGTCTCTCTCAAGCAAACCACATCTTAATTTGGTAAGAACAAGAAACAATTCTTCCTCTGGGCTTAGGAATCGTTTGCGGCCACGTTTTTTCTGCTCTGCAGATTCAATCGTGCCATTCTTGGATCCTGTATACGATAGTTTCGTACATGCAGGGCTAAGGTAATTATAAAAAACGTTATTTTCGAAACCAGTGTAAAATTCAAAGTGAGTATCGCAGAGCTTTTATAACGGTCAATTGAGAATGATTTGCTTTAAGTGAAGTGGTATCCCTTTCATACTGATGCTTTTCTTTCAAGTTGGCCAACTCATCTTCTAGACGTTGTAGTCTATCCTGAATATTCTCCTCAATTAGCTTGACATTTTTTTGCTGCTGTGTTGATTGTACTTCGTTGACTTTATCCACTTCAATTGCAATGTTAATTTGGTTTGTGTTCTTGCTTAGTTCTGCGAGAACTGTTCTTTGATCAAGCAGGTTTGGCGTTTGATCATGGGTTGGTATGTTGTTTAAGTAGGTCTTTTTACCATCAAGGAAATGTTCCGAACACACATGATGATCGTCGTTTGGCGTGAATTCGCTCCGTCCAGTCCTATCTATCCATGTATTTCTTAACGTTTGGTCTTTAGGGAATCTGTGAAAAGACAAGGATGGATTTCATCTTGTACTATTGTCTATTGCCACAACCAGGGACACAACAAGCTGTACCACCACCTCGAGCTTTTTTCTACGTAAGTGTTTTAATAATTTCATCGCAAAAAGGTTCAGATAAGGTATTTGCTGATGTTGAGCATATTATTTCAGCCATTAAGTCTGATAGACCATCAATAACAACCAACACATACCTTTACCAGCCATTTGGAGTAGTTATAAACAAAAAACAACCGAAATAATCCAATATTTACAAGTATTTACAAGCTGCGCTCCGTGTTTACACGGCCGCCATTTTTATTTTTTTTGCCTAATCAGCAAAATGATACCTTACTTCCTGTCACCCCCTGCATGCATAAATTAAAAGCTGGAATTGACTATACACTATAGTTTTATGAAAACTATATGGTTTTTACCAATGGTCCAATACACTATAGTTCTCTGAAAACTGTAGTTCTGTACCAGTTAACTATAGTTTTCATAACTAAAGAACTATAGTTTTTTGAAAACTATAGTTTTTACCAATACACTACAGTTCTATGAAAACTATAGTTCTGTACCTGTAAACTATAGTTTTCATAACTAAAGGACTATAGTTTTTTGAAAACTATAGTTCTCTAAAAATATACTATAGTTTCTATAACTGTTAAGCAGTGCCAGTGGCAAAGCCAGCCCGAAAATTTGGTCATGCCATGCAAATTTTAAATAATTATTATATATCAATTTCTTTAGAAATTTATTGTTTTCACGGAAATATTTATGTAGCATGACGTAATTGTCGGGCTGACTTCACCACTATATACTATAAAGGACCATCACATAATCCAGTTACTGCACTGTAAAAACTGATTGGTTAAAACAACCAATTTTTTAGGTCGCAATTAAATTTGGTTTTTTGCCTTTATTAATTGGTCAAAGTATTGTATTTAACTGCTCAAAATTTCACGGTTTGAGTTAATTTTAAATTCTGCATGAGTTCATGGAAACTATATTTACAAAAATATTTATAGTGTTTGTGGAGGTAGGTGTTTCGGTACATTGGCAGACAGGACAGAAACAAATTACGAGGAAGGAAATTTACCTGACTTTTCTCCGACTCTACTGAAAATGTCTGTGTAAACTTTCCCAAAATTGTTGTTGATGGGGGTGGTTGGGGTGGCAGTTGGGGAGATGGGTCGACGAAAAAACTTTTCCTTTTGTGTTAAAATTCCTTGTTACTTTTACATAATTATTTTATTTTCAACTACAATATTGCATATGCCTTCTTTTAAAAGTTATTTCCCCCAATTTTGCCCTACTTACGTTTATAGTTTGGCACGAAAATTCTCACGATGAGTGCAGTTTGACAGAGTGGTGCCTAGTTTTCCTGCAACACGCACAAAGCTCCCTGGGATAGTGTCATTCGCAACGTTACCAAGTCCGGAATTTTATCCCGAGATTTTTTTAAGCAGTTTGGATTTTTTGGGGGGTTTTATTTTAAAAAATCAATCTCGGGATTTTTTTTGATTTTTGAGAAAGGGAAATTCGAAGTTTAGAAATTAATTTTTTGGCAAAATTGACTAGGAATAAACAATTTTGCTAAAAATCTAGGGTTTGTCCACTCGTATTTAAGCCCTATTGAGTATTGTGGGATGCATATTTGATGCAAGATTTCGTTTTCACAACATGACATGATGTACGAGGCTATCCTACCCGAAATTGGCATGAAAACCACCCAAATTCTAATGACGCAAAAAAGTCGGAATATCGGGATTTTTTAGGAAATTTCAGGAGATTTTGGGAGCTTGCTTGGGAATCTTTCCCAAAGTCCTTTCCAGTTTTTTTTTCGCGGTTCATAAGTACGCTGGAAAGCACTTTCACCCTTGCAGCACGCAAATCAACCGGTGGATTTTTTGACTGGGGTGTGACTGGGGTGTGTCATTATTCTAGCCAATAAGAAGCACATATTTAAATTATTTGAATGAATTATTCAAATATTGTTAGGCTTTCGACTTATTTAATACAAATAAACAATAAAACAAAGTCATTTCAAAGTAGAAAATATGGTTAGTTCTCAAAAATGCAATAAAATATTGGCAACAGAGGTGAACTGTTGTTTAACTGAGTTAATTTTCTAAACTAAAGCGGCATTTTTGTCCCTACAAGAACGGCAAACAACATTTGTTAGGGAGCATTCATTTTTTAGCTGGGGGTGGGGTGGGGTGGGGTGGGCCGGGGGAACTGATCACTGATGTCTAATTCCATGCTAAAACTTGGAACCCCTAAGAGAAAAGTTGATAAAAAATTATGACCCCCTATTTTTTTACTGAAATTTTTTTTGACCCTTCATCCTAACTATTATTAATCCACACGGTGTTGTTTCCATAGCATTTCAGGGCCGTAGGAAGCTCTTCTTGATTGGGGGGCTGAAAGCGAGGGCCGAAGGCCCGAGGAAATTTTTAAATCTAGAGTCTATGAAATGCCATTTCCTGGATTTGACAGAATTCTGATGGTCAGAAAACAGCGTTTTAGTATGTCGAAATTTACAATTTGGTAGTACTAAATGGGCTAAGGCATATTTAATTAACTATATATTGCCCGCAGAGTTGCAAAAAAGCTGCTGGCATGTGGGCATTGCCTGCGAGGAAGTGAGGAAGGTTTAGTGGTCAATGGTCGCTAACACCAAAAAAGTAAAACAAATAAATCATGGTTGAATAAGGCAGTTGAGGCTGACAAGTTGTGGTGGTACTATTGTGATATAGTACCTATGCCAATTGACTATGACATTGGAGAATACTGACAAGACAACAACTGAAAATATTCTCTAAAATTAAAATGTGTAAGTGTCAAACGTCAGAGGTGCCTTAGGTCACATAAAATAACTTGCTTGATTCTCATCACTGCCCAACTGTATTTTAAGAGCCGCATGAAAATGTTTTATATTTTGTTATACAATATAAATGTACCATCCGACAAAATATTTCAAGACAGTTAAGGTTTTTTATATTTTATATTGGGGTTTTAGTGCCATTTTAAACTGTCAATTTCAACAAACAGGACCTTGAAAGAAATTTCATTGCATTTTAAAGGAACTTTGCTACCTCCTCCGCAGGCCTTTCAAAAAAATAAAATTGGTGCAAAACGAACCCGGACTAATTTTCCAAAATGGCGGGAAACCACAAACCAAATTATATTTAATATATCATTTTACCAAAACAATATTATTATTAAAGTCTTTATAAACTACTTCAGATATAGACCGCTTTTCGTATCAGCAATATACATAAAAACAGGGAACACTGAACAAACAAGCATACAATGATTAATTACAAAGAGAAGCAGATAAATATCAGTTTATAATTTGCATATTACAAACACGCAGCGCTTTTATGTAACATGTTGTATGTCAGGCATGCGGCTGTTTATCCACGAAATTTATTCCATTTATATTTGTCTTTTATACAGTGTAACTATTTAAATGCGTGTGTATATAGTCAAAACATCCCATTTGGCCAAATGATAGATTCACAACGTCTATTATCACTGTCGCTTGTGCTTGTAAAACCCTCCATTATTTGAATCTCCTCGTCGCTTTTATCAGCCATAACTGCCAAGATGTATTTAGAAAATACTCGCAAAACGGGATTGCTAAAGATTGGCAGATGATGTGCCATATTTTTTAAGAAATTTGACCCAACCGAGTAATCGAAACCAAAATCCAAGTAATCGACATGTTATTCAGCAGGCCTTACAGCTACGCAAGTCTTCGTCTCAAGTCTTTGTCTCAAAACTGCGGAGGAGGTAGGGAACTTTGCATTTATAGTTCAAGGGTTCAGTCCTTGTTCGTGGAGATATGTTGGAAATGACAGAAATGTGTACTTGTAATATGTTTATTTTGGTTTATGACACTTCACTTCGGAACTCACAGAAATATTAAATGTTAGGAATTATTTATTTATTTATCGATTATAAATTATAAATATAAAATGTAAACTTCCCGCTTTATTGACATTTTCAAAGTGTAGTGATGAGAATCAAGGAATTTATTTTATGTGGCCTTAAACCATTGCACCAGCAATAACAGGAGGCTATATTAATAAGAGCTATTCAATATGGTTAGGGACGGACCATTAGAAAAGTGGGGGGGGGGGGGCAAAACCAAAAAAAAATTATTCCCAGAAAAAAATTAGGAAAAAAAATCTTTCCAGGCATAGTGCAAAAACAAAATTCCTTGCTTGGAAGATAGGCCTATAAATTTCACTTAAAAAATTTCCAGCCATCAAGTGAGAAAAAAAATTCTTCTATAGGTGTACAAAAAAAATATAGAATCCCCCCCCCCATCACTTTTCTAATGGTCCGTCCCTTACAATAAGAAACTGACATATTACTGCTATTTGCAGATGAGCGCACCGACTTTGGGATGCAGCTCAATCAGAAAAAATGGAAAAACTTGTTAAAGAGTTGTGAGAACAGTCTGATGTTTTTGGGAACATGAGAGATCAGTTGGGCTGTACTCTTCTTCATGAAGCTGTGGAACAACAAAACACAATATTTGTTGAGTGCTTGTTGGGAATTGGGTGCAACCCTAATTCAAAAGAGACATGTGGTGCTACTCCACTTAGCATTGCAGTGAATGAATGAATGAATAGCTTTATTAAAGATTATTAAAGAGTGAAAAATCCACAAAGTGGTTTTTCATTTTACACTCTGTTTACAGATTAAAGTTATTTCTATATTATTATCTATCAAAAGTTGCTGTCATATTAGTTAAGTTACTATTTAGTACCTATTTACAATGGTTACTTAAAATTGGCCCTAATGGCCATTTTGAAACTACTTAGATTTCTTTTTCCCTTAATACCTCTAATGGCAAACTATTCCATAGAATAGGAAGTACCGAAATCGGTCGAAAATTCGATTTGATATTTTTATCACCACTTTTAAAAATTGGAGTTACCACAGCTGATTTCCACTCTGCAGGTATGACAGACTGTTCTATCGAGAGGTTAATTAAATAAGTGATGGATTCCAGTACGGAATGAACACCCACCGCTATCTTCAACGTCCTAATGTCTAAAGTATCGATACCAGTAGCTTTATCACTGGATAAACTATAGATAATCTGCACTACCTCAGATTGTGCAACTTGATTTAATTCAAAGCGAGATGTGACATTAAAGGGGAAATTGAATTCGTTACCCGCTGATCCGAGCTCCGACTGTATTTTTTCGCCTATAACGGTGAAATATTTATTGAAATTTTCGGCACAGGCCTTCGTATCGTCACATTCAGAGAAATTTGAACTATGCTTGGATGATGGAAAAACTTGTCTTATGATTCTCCATAGTTCTCTAGGACATTGTTTTTTCTCCTTAATTAACCGATTATAATATTCGGCTTTAGCTTGCTTAACTAAAATCTTAATTTTGTTCCGCATCGCCAAATAGCCTTCCCATAGATTTTTCTTCTCCTTTTCGTTTGTTGACTTTGACGCTTTTTTAAAAATCTTATCTCTCTGGATGATCATAGCATGTAGATCTGATGTAAACCAGGGTTTCCCTATTTGACGGATCTTTATTCTTTTAATTGGAGCATGCTTGTTCAATACTTCAAGATACAGACATTTCCATGCATTCCAACTATCCTCAATATCATCAAAGGGTTTTATTGCATCCCATGGGACACTCTGGAGATCATTTTGAAAAGCTCTGGCTTCAAAGTGCTTTAATGATCGAAATTCTTTGTAGCATACTTTCGGTTTCTTAATTTTTTTCTTGATGATACAATAGACAATAGAATGGTCACTTATGTTTGACTCAAGGGACCCTGAGTCAACAACAAGGGATTCATTGTTGACGGCTATTACATCAATCAATGTACTGCTGTTATTTGTAATTCGCGTTGGCTGTTTAATCAACTGGGTTAAATGATGTGTTTCAAACAGTCTAATTAGAATTTTTGTATGTGAATAGTCAGCCCGAAGTAGGTCACAGTTTAAATCTCCAATAATCGCAATGTTCTTATAGTTTATCACAGCATGTTCAACATTTAGGTAAAGTTTTTCAAATTGATCGCTTGTTGATTCAGGAGGGCGATAAATACAACCAAGTAATAAAGGACAAGCTTTGGAAAATTTGCATTCCAACCACAGTTGTTCAATTTCCCCATCACCTCAACTTGGGGCAGACAAATCCCAGTTTACTTTAAGCGAAATATAATTTTTGGTGTAAACTGCAGGGCAGAGTCTGGAAAACCGACTGGAGAAGCGTTTCGTTTCCATCTAAGGACACACTGCTGGTCGACTGACGTCTATTTTCGTCACGGCAAGGCTCATCAACAAAAGTGTCGTTGTAAAACGGCAATGCGCGACAAATACATGTTGAGCAAATCCAAGAGAAAGTTGTCATTAAACTCAAGCGATTATATTCAACAGGCGACACTCCCCCACATCGTATGTGGCACCAGAGTTGACAAGAGTCACACAAAATCGCCCTATGATTCTTTGCCACTGATTTAGCACAAACCGAACAAGGATTTTTAACATCACCAGGATTTGTCTCGATATCACCAGCTTGAAGGACTATATTAAATTGAGCAACAGAATTTGAATAGTAATTAATTCTTTGCTTCATATATTTCCTTCTCTTACATATTGGCTTTATAGATAACACCATAAAATTCTTTAACCAATTTGTTTTGCCTCGAGCATATCCAAGATGGTGTTGATTTAACCCACAATGACCACATGTTGATCGGCTTTCTCCCCCAAAATCATTTAAGGAGTCATCAATCGTTGAATTCAACTTGAAACAATCAAGTCTAGTTGTTGTATTTTCGCAACCAAATGCTTTTTGAAGGTACAAAGTAAATAGAAGAGTTGACAAAATAAAATTACTCGAGCTCACCATGGCATGACCGACCACCTCACCACCCCACATGACTGACAAACTCACCATGGCATGACCACACTACATAACAAGGAAATTTGTGAGATGCTGATAAACTGTGGAGCAAGTGTGAGAGGACCATCTTTTGTAAATGTTCCAAGCCCTCTGGTCATGGCAGAGAAGATGGAGCTGGAGGAAATTTGTGAATTGATGCAACCAAGTTCATCTGAAGAGGAAGATGACATAATTGCTTCTTATGATATTGGTTTTGGTAAGTCTATGCACACTGTATTTGAGACAAATGAAACTAAAAAAATTGACAGATCTTCTTGCGGCTATATGACTGGCGTTGTTGGTGACATTGGAACATGTAAGAATAATAGATCTGTTATGAGCAGGTCTTCGGGGTACAGTTGGGTTGGTGTCATCCCTGGTGATTTGCACACTAAAGGACATCTAGTTTGAAGCATGTTTTAAGGAACAGGTGGGTCCTAGTTATAGATTACCTAATTCTCAACCTCGTTCTCAAATTCTCAAGCTGCAAAACTGACATATGAGTGATATGACCCAAATATTGGATATGCATCTTAGTTTGCTTCCAGTAAAATGTAAACAAAACCTTAAGAATTCTATATGAGATAAGAAATAATACATTTAAAATCATGACTGGCAAATTAACATGTGCAAATTGATGTTTCCTAATAATAGGATGTACTCCAGTAAAGCTTGCTTGCTTCAATTCTTGCTGTTACCATCTGCACATTATCAGGGTGGAGAGTTGATTTGAATATTTTGTCCCAGGGCGTAAAGGTAGGGAATAGATTTTCCATCACAAAAGGGGCAAGGTGCCCAACCAGTTAGAAGATGGCATGTACTTTAAGTGACCATTCATTATACCCTAGGGTGGGGTGGGAGATTCTTATGTCAAAATGTCATGGGACCCCTTTTTAATCTCTTAATTTAATAATAGAGACCCCTCCTAAATATTTAAGACTATATAACATGATGCAATTCTAATCTTCATTCATGTGAATGCCTGGCTATGAAGAAAATACATTTTGCAACTGACAGGGATATCCCCAGCAAGATCTGGTGGGGGGGGGGTGCTCTGCCAGCTCTGGTGCCGAGTCGTGTTGGTCATGTGTGCCACCTGCCCATCAACTTGCTTCACTACTGCAAAGTCTTGCTTTACTACTGTATTTGAATTGTAATTGTTGTTCACAGCTCACTCATCATCATGTTATTACTCAAATTACTGCATCTCATTTTGCGTCTAATAATTTTTTGCTTTAATTATCATGAGAAATAGCATCCCCTCTGGCCAGGGCTAGGGGGGTGCACACCTCCCCAGTAAATCCATCCCTGTTGCAACATACACTATAAGAGCTAGAATGATTGCTTCCTTTGGATGATTTGTCTTAGACACAAATCAATGTATATAATTAAATTTTATTAAATAAAATGTGGAATATTTTACAAATTGCAATTACCATCCCAAAGTGTACAATTATCAATTTAATTAGGACTTAGAAGCTGTTCACATGAGTTTGACTCTGACCCAGCACACTTGGCTAGCTCCCCTTGCCCGATCGCAAGTAGAAAACCTCCACCCCCTCTAAAAAATCAGTCCAGATCTGCCCAAGAGGCAGGATTTTCTGCATTGAAATTGTTGCATATTTTCAATTAGCATTGAAATTGTTGCATATTTTCAAGCATGCATTGTAACCTGATTTTAAAGCCTGTTTGAGCATCAAACATAGTGGCAATGACAAGATGGTCCAGCCATATGAATGCAATCTTAAAATATCATAAAAACAATGCAATTTAAGGCCAGACAGCCCAACTCCTGTGAACAACCCTTTATTACACATTCGAAGCATCTCTTGAGGCATCAAAGTATAAACATGCACATGGAATTACATACGAATATGTGACATAAGCCCACCATTGCACAACTTTGTCTGCAACAATGCAAATACAATCAAGCTGGAAATGGATTTTATCAGTATTTATATATATATATATATATATATATATATATATATATATATATATATATATATATATATATATATATATATATAACATCTAAACAAGTATAGCTTTTAAAGAGAAATAACTTGCATCAAATAGAGGAAGGACTAACTTAGACTTTGATATATTACAGTTGTATTTCACTTAAAAATTCACGGAGATATTAATCTTTAAATTCGGGAGGATATTTCTGGATGTGTCTGAAATATGCAAAAATCGGCGTATAAAATATTAATCAAGATTTGCCCGACTGAAACATGCACTATTACCAGTAAATAAATGACACTTGACAAATTGTTTATTATGAAACAAAGTATTATTATATCTACAAAATACAAGCAAGATTCATTCGTCCGAAATTCGTGTGTGTTCCTAGCACGAATACGTTTCCTTATTTCATGAGACCACTGCATCGCGAAGGATCGTCATTGGATCGTTCGTAGTTCTGAATTAGGGCATGCTGTCACAACGGACTTGTGAAGCTCTTCTAACTTCTGCAACGTTCTGAAATCTTGTTAAGAACACCCAAACTCTTTTGCCGTTTCTTAATCTTGGCAAGTTCATGGAGTAAACTGAGAATTATATGAAACACAATCAAACCATACAACTCCATAAGATATAACAATTAAGCAACTCCCCAGAGACATGCAACATTTTTGGAACAAAACGTAACAAAATAGTAGTGTTGATACGGTGATGTGTATTTGCAAAAAGCAATATTATTTCCTTCAATAAAGAATATTCATCCTGCTCTAACCGAGAAATAATCTACTCAGTCTGTTTGAACCCATTAAAAACATAAAAAAATTAGGCTATTTAAGAATACGAAAAATTTAAGCGCCTGCCTTCCATGGTCAGTCTTTCATGTACATTTAAGCTTGCAAAGACCTAATATTAAATACTTGCATAATTTCAAACGTTCATATTTCAGGAAACAATGAGCTAAGACTTACATGTAAGATGTCTAAATCTACGCCATATCCCTTACAAACCTTAACGATAATTCGCTGAAATACAAGTTAGCCTAATATGTCATTAAGCAAACAAACGCTGGAGTTAATATTTGATATGCCGATTTTCGCTAATTTTAGACACATTCCAAAATATGCTCCCATTTTTAACATTAATATATCCGTGAATTTTTAAGTTAAATACAACTGTAATATATCAAAATCTAAGTTAGTCCTTCCTCTATTTAATGCAAGTTATTTCTCTTTAAAAACTTTACTTGTTTAGAAGTTATTACGAATCAAACAGGAGTACTTTTTTTTTGGCCACCCGGTATATAAGTGGGTCTCTGGTAGAAAATGATAGTACTCGTATCAGTAAAAATTGGAGGCCGACGGTTGACGAATCGCCAAAACCAGCGATGGAAAAGTATGTTGAAATTGTGCGTGAACGTAAACAAACAAAAGGTATGACAGCAAAGGGAAGAAATAGTGCAGAAATTTGAAGCGGCATCCTTAGCAGCCGGGGATACAAAAACTATTCTGTGTGGAAACTGTCACCTTCGCTTAGGTCATACTCAGAAAAAGTGCAATTTAGAACGTTGTAATGACGTATTTTCATGCGGACAAGAAGGGGCAGCTGGCCAGAAATCTGTTTCTGCTAAGAAATTATCTGTTCCAGATTTTTTAGAAGTCTGGCTGAAATTGACCTCCCTCTTTGAGTGTTTATTTGACAATTTATTTGATATGATTGGTCTGACCGTGTCATTAAAGCCGCGACCCAAGTAGTCTTCAAGTACTGAATATATATATATTTTTCATAACAGTGTTACAGTTATTTAATATTGAATGTTTATGTTTTTATACTGAACTGCCAGGTAGGCAGTAAGAATATTGAATCTTGATTCTTGTTGATATTTTATCAACTATGTTGTGTTAATATATAGATACTGTATAGTATAGTATATTTTGTGTTCAATATAGTTTTGTGTTATACAAAGATGTAAGATGTATTCATGTAAAATCCATGCATATTATTTGAACTAAGTTAACAGGTTCGTTTATAGCAATCTTAATATCGTAGTTGAAGTAGTTCACAACAGGTAGCAGATCGTAATTTAAAGCGTTTTTTACTTTTGAAAAACGTTTTCGGCTGGGTTGGGATCTGGTGAATAGATTGGAGTGTAAAGCAATTCAATACCCATTTCGTCTAATAAGTCCTCTAAAATTTCTCCTCCGTTGTAGTGGTGACAACTGAAATTGTCCATAATGACCATGTCTCCACATTCTAATAGAGGTCGATCTGTTGCTGGGGATGTGTTTTGGCATAATTCGTTGAAAAATTTATGAACTGAGCAGTGTTGGTGGGCCCGTCTATAACATTAAAGTATGCTACTCCATCATAAAGCGAAGTTAACACGTTTAAAGTGAAATTAGGGCTTTGACATTTACGAATCACTTCAATGCAGCGCTCTCCTATGGGTGTATGTCCATAATATCTTATACCAATATCGGGAGTTTTTATTCAAGCCTCATAAAAAAAAACTTGAGGGTATAAGGATTCTTGCTATTCACATAATTCAAGAATAGTTGTGTATAGATCATATTTTCTCTCGTAAATCTTTCCTTTGCTATATGAGTTATTTTTTTCCTGGTATACACTTTTCCCGACGGCAATTTTTGTAAACTTCTACTTATGGTACTAAGAGAAACACTTTCCTCAACATCACCAATATCATCTAGCTCCGCGCAAGTTTCTTTCATCATAAATGACCCTCTCTGAACTTTCCGCAAAGCTTCAATAAGTGCCAGATCATATTCGCTCAACTTCCCCTGCACTCCGCCCGATTTTGGCAAAGGGTTTTCAGAAAACTCCTCAACATATCGTTTCCAAATTTTTCTTACAGTGATTCGTGCGACACAAAACTTTGTTGCAATTTGTTCATAGCAACCGGGAAAATTTCCAGTTACTATATCTCCCCCAGCCAAAACAATTTCGTCTATAATTGCTCTTCGTAGATCTATTGATATACTTTTTCCGCTTTCCCAAGTTCTCCCACGTTTGCCAACTTTCATGTAGATTGTAGACGTTTATACTCACTGGCACTGCGTTTGTGCCTGACCTCAACCTAGTTTGCACTGCCTCAATGCGCCGCGTCAACGTGGCATTGGAAGCCAATCAACTGCTTGTTGACACATGAAAAAACGTTCGAAAATTTGGTGCCGCGGCGAGCTCATCTGCAAATTCGAGCTCATCTATTCAGAGATTATTTGATTACATGATTGCAATATTTTTAGAGAATAATTAATAGTTATAAATGAAATAAACCATCAATGCTGTAGCAACTAAACATTGTAATAATTATATAAATATGGCCTTATAAACAAAGCTGAGGAAGAAATTTTAGATTGTGCGATGTGAGTGTGACAAACATAATACAGCTTAATTGCCGAGGTGTGTAGCTGTCATACATATTTAATACAGATCGACGGATTGTATTGAGGTTCTATAATCAAAATCATGTTTACATACCTGATACCTACACTGTTAATTCCCACAAACTATAAGATAACCATAAGTATATGGCAGCATCTGTTATAGAGATTATATTGCCATTGCCATTGATTTTCAACCATTCCAAACATTGCCATTGACTATAAACTGCCAAGCAGGGCACTATACTGCTTGGTTAAAATTTAACACTTTACTTTGGAAACAAGTGAAAGCATTTGCTGCCTCGCTGATTGTGAAATTGGGTCACACTTCTAAAGATCTAAACACTTCTCAAATACCTTTCAAAACCACAAGTACAGAAATATCAAATACCACCTCTAGAATGTTGTTGCCATAGTTTTGCTGCTGGCCTCTATAAATGTATACATGCATAAAATGATAGATTAAAGAATGAATAGATGGCTCACTCCTTTGATGTTTTTGATGCTGCCAACACGCGTGACTTCCGGTCGGCCGCCATTACTCTGGCAAGAACACCCCAGCAAGAACAATAATAAAATGTATTGTGAAATTGACATCGCCACTACTAAATCCTAATGCACCTATCAATGTTAAGCCGGAGAGGGAGAGGGGGGGGGGGAGGGCGGGCGACAATAGGGCATTTGAATTTTTGTTGAAATATTTTGTCAAACATCCCGTATTTCAGAAATCCACGCTGGTCAAAATTCATCAAAATACCCGGCTATTTCTTTGCTTCCTGTTCAAATACCCCACATCAATGTATCCTGTTTATTAGTAGAAGGGAGAGTAATAGTTAGCATGTTTGTTTACATTTTCGCCCTATGAAAATCAGAATGCATAAAACGCCAAATATTTAAACGTACACATGGAGTTATTGGCGTTTTAAGCATTCTGATTGGCTAAGGGCAAAATGTTAACAAATGTTCTATTAAATTGGGCAAGAACAAAATTTCTCCTTGTTTTAATATGATGACCATGAATAAATTGTCTATGCACCACAATATCAATGTAATTTAGAAGAAAACGTTTACAAGTATATGATTGAACTGATATCTATTACTGTATAGAGTTTATATAGCAGTTACTAAATTTCTTGGCAGTTTATACAAAGCCAATGATTGGGAACTTCTCTTGAAAGTATGTTTGCGCAGATCATATGGCACCGTGATGCACATCCATCGCAACTTATCCAAGGGACTACACCGTCTATGTCTTCGTCATCAGACAATGGAGGGTCAGCCATATCGCAGATAATGCAAATGTCCTCTGCACTTTCCAATGATTGTCCTGGTAGGTCATTGGTTGTTGAATTGTTAGCCTGGGCTTTTTTCTTCCTTCTCGTTTCGGCTGCTTTTTTTTGCCCCTTTCGCTCTGTTTGCTCAAACCACATTCAAGTGCTCAAACCACATTTTAGTTTCATCAACACTCAGTAAAACCTTTTGTGCTGTGTCTTCGATTACCTCCAATGGTGGGACCACTTTATACTTGTTAAATACTGACAAAATGGAAATAGAAGGCGGTTGACAGTTTCCGTCAGCTCTTGGTGTATCTTTGTCAGATAATTGAAGAAGAGCTTGAGGTTTCAAGTAATGACCAGCACAACCGTCTTTGCATTCTGCACAACAGGTGGAGCCATGTGGTCTTTCAGGATCTGGTCGCGGAATAGGGAAAAAGGATATTGGTGGACCATTCAGATACCAGGTCAATTCTTTTTAGGGCCTTCCTTTCTTGCATATCTTGTGAATGCAGGTTTTTTCATAACAACAAGGTACAAAACATACTTCGCAGGCAGTTCCTTGTGTAAATGGTTATTACGAAGTTGCCATATACGTTGGAACTTGGAATATGCTTCAGGGTGATCTCTTTCCAAAGCTTCCTTTTCACCTTTTTTACCTTTCAAAAACACTTTCAGAAGCTCATTTTCGTCTTGGTAGGCTTTATTATCTGCACCTCTTATCAAATGAATCTGGGTTGAAGCACATGGGGCACCGTCCACACGAGAAATATATAGATAAATTGCTGAGTTGAGGTTTCTCTTCAAAACTTATTTATTCACATTTCCCCCTTCTGATGTACAAGACCCATTTAACGTCGACGGAATAAATAGATTTGAGTGGGCAAGACACCCATTCTGCAACTCTACACGATTACGAAAGCTTGCCCCGCCGTTCCTAGATGTCACCAGTAATGCATGGCTACCAGAGTTCAAGTGATGTAACGTCCACCAGTACTGTGTTTCCAAATGTGCAGGTCCTTCGTCATACCCGCCATCGACGCGGACACACTCTATTTCTTTTCTTGTACCAGTTGTTGGGTTGATAAATGCGGGCTTGGAACACTCGTTTTTTGAAATAGCTTCTAGATCTGCCAAGTGCTGGGCAGAGTTTTTGCTGAATAACACAGGAGCCTTAACCACACCCATGCAAATTTCTCCTGTGGTTTCTGTCCCAGGGAAATTGTAAGAGGTTGTTTGTAATGTGGACGGATATTTATTGACGTAGTCTGTCCTTGTTGCAAGTGTTTCTTTGCCTTTTACACAGAGATTACCATGAAGTCTATGGGTGGCTAGAGTATCTAAACGAAACCCAGCTTGATCATCTCTTCCTAAGTTTACAACATTTGTTCCATCTCGATATTGCAGGGCATCTAAACATGAATAAAGGGCATTGCTCCAGTGCGAGTCCGGATTGTACTTGATGTTAAACCCTTTCCTTGCTCTCTTTTGAATAACTTTCTGACCACCACGATACCTTAATGCCGATCTTCTTCGTTTATTTCTTGCTATACAGAGTTGCACAACCGTTCCATAAGAGATACTTCTTTGGTATTTTTCTTCTAAATGCTCCGTGACCCGCTTGAACGTTGCCTTCTTTTCAAGTTTCTTGTTCCCGTCAAAGGTAATTAGCCCTGTCTGGCGCCATGCGTCAGCGCCTGCTCCACATCTTTCAACAAAACTTCAATCGTTTTTCCTATATCCGGACAATCTTGCAGAATCTTGGCTACTTTTTTACTTTTCCGTCGCTTTAAGAAGCGTTGTTCCGCAATTTTTCTTTTGACATCTCTGGTGGCTTTTATATGTAATGCATCTCTTCTTTTCGTGATCAAAAACTGGCCAGGAACATCAAAAGGACTCTGAATCTTGCGAATATCATTATCACTACTGCTTTCATCCGACTCGGAAACTATGTTGCCAGATTGAATGGCATGGTCTCTCTCTTCCATAGATTTATTCAAAATGTAAACTTGGTGCGATTGTTGTACAATTTGCATATCTGAATTAGACATTCCAAGAAAAGGCAGTTTATGATAAAAGTCTGAAATACTATCTTGAAATGCAGTTTCATGTAATTCCTTCATATTTTCTTGTGCTAAGTTCACAAATTCCAGCCAATTGTAATCACTATTTCTGAGAATATTTAACAAATTGTCAGAACTTGCATTCCTAATTGTTGATGTTGTACTGGTAGTGATATCATTTGCAGATTTAGGATTTTCGCTGCCAGGCAAATAGGCTACTTCATCTGTTAATTCTCGGTCAGTCTCGCTTTCTGAACCTTTACTCACTAGATATTGGTATTCCAAAAGCTTCTAGCAATCCTTTTTCTTTCAAATGAGCGATTTTCTCTATTGAGTTCATTATGTCTTGTGCTGATTGGGCAGCTTTCTCAACCTGCTCAACTCTCTTATTAATGTCTCCAAAACCGTATCGTTTCTTCGCTTCTGTACCTGAGATTCCAGCTGATTTTACAATGGAATACTTAAGCCGTTCTCTTTCAGATTCGCTTTCAGCAAGAAAAATAGCTTCTTAACCTCCTCCTGAGTCATATGCTGTTTGGAATCTCGTTTGGAAGTCTCATGCAACAGCGACTGGAAAACTCTATAGTTTGTATGGCTTTTCTTCTCCACTAGGTAGAAACAATATGTCCCCAACTTCTTATCACCAACAGCTGCCAGTGGCATCTGGAGAAGTTTCCTTCGAGCATCTTTGGCTGAATAGCTAACGTTTGGACTACACATATTAAATGCAGTAGTTAATTTAATAAAACCGAACTCAACAATATGCCTTGCAACTTTAACTTTCCCATTGCAGTCTTTGCAGGGCTGTTTATGGCGAGTATCACAAACAAAACAACATGTGCTGATATAGTCAACAAGATTTAGTCCCTCAAATCTGGAAACATAAACACTATCATTAATTACCTCCGCCAGGAGGTTATGTAATCATCTGGGTTTGTATGTGTATGTGTATGTGTGTGTGTGTGTGTGTTTATCTGTGAGCACGATAACTCAAGAAATACCAAACATATTCATATGAAATTTTTTGAATGCATTTCCCATCGGCTAAGGAAGAACTGATTAAAATTTGGTTGAATTTGGTTAAAAATTGAACGAGAAATGAACAAAATTTTGTCTTGCTTTTCCCGGTCAATTAAAAAAAACTCACTGAATGCATAATTAGGACGTGTATAATGTATGCACGCAGTACTATGAAGACAATAATGAGATGATAAACCTCATTAAGCTTCAGCCTTCATTATCTATTGTCTTAGTTGCATTTCACATGACCGAAATTCAATGGGTCGGGGGTATGCAGTCTCTGAGTGCCCTCTAGTTTTATCATGCAGTGACAACCGCCTGCATGTTTCTCATTCAAATACAACAGCGTTATCCCCTTCAACCTCTATTGTTCCAGGGTGAAGGGTGTTCAAGCAAAATCCCCATCACTTGTCCCCATTTGTTTTTGTATATCATTACATTCATTGCTTTTCACTTGCTGGCTAAGCATATCTGGGGACTGGTTTCCTGTTTCCTCTTGCTGGCTGAGCATGTGTGGGGACTGGTTTCGCGTTTCTCCTTGCTGACTGAACATATCTGGCGACTGGTTTCCTGTTTCTTCTTGCTGGCTAAACATATCTGGTGACTGGTTTCCTGTTTCTTCTTGCTGGCTAAATAAATCTGGGGAATGATCTTCTGCTTCTTCTACAGAAGGTTGACTTTTTTCGAAAATCAAACGCTGAAAATCAAACGGAAGTCGGCATAGTACGTATTAAACGTGGGATGTCGGCTGCTGCTTCAATTCCACCTTCAGTTTCATCTGAGCTCACAATAAGGGTGTCAAATGACTCATTTGAGTCAGACGTGCTGGTAAGAGTGTGTTCAGAAATATCACTAGCATTTTTGAACATTTTTGCAATGTCAAATGATTTTCTCTTGCCTTTCTGTTTGCTTTCTCCACTCTTTCTTTTTTCGCTTCCCTTTTTGTTATAGTACCACTTCGATTTTGCTTCTTTCTTTTCCATATGCTTAAGCTGTTTCTCCAAGATCTTTTTCTCATTCATCAGCTTTCCTATCTCGCCAACTATCTGGTCACATTTGGAAAAGTTGTTCAGCGACTTTTGTTTTTGCAGACGCAGTTGCTTAATTTCAATTTGTTCTTGGATATTTTTTAGAATGTCAGAAGTGTTCTGAATTTCTTTTGCTCTTTCATCTTTGTCTGTCTTTTTTCTTTTACTTTCCTTACCACTGTCCATATCACTCAGGGATCTTGCTCTTGACTTACCCTTGACAAATTCATAGCCTTGAGAAATGACGGTTTCTTTTGCTTTTTTTAAGAGCTTGCCTAATTAAATGGAGAATGATTTGATAAGGTACAGTCATAGTACCAATTTCCAAACGATTAATTACGTGTAGAAAAATAACTAATTCATCTACATTCAAAAGGACAATTTTAAATAACCATAAAATGACAGTACTCTTTCACTGAGAAGTAATATCACTGGCACATTAGACATAATAATACACTAGTGTAAGTAAATTTTGGCACATTGTCAGTTAATGGGTTAGCAACGATAGCAGGAGACACTTGCAGTACGTTTCCACTGATTATTACAATCATCTGGTGTTAGACAGCGCAAACTAATACTTTGAATCATTACCAGTTTGTGGGCTAAAGAACATCTAACCAAGACCCAATTTCCTGAATTTCTTACGAGTTAGTTTTTTCTGCATATTTTGGAGCAAGTTAAATAATCTCATTTTGTTATTCATTTATCTTGTTATCATCTATTTACAGTGCAGTGCAGTGCAGTGTAGTGCAGTGCAGTATATGTAAGACCAAATTTCGAAATTTTGTTGATCACCTCTATTTTGAACAAGCATTGGGTCATTACGAACAAGTTTGGCTACTTCATCATTAACAGCTTCTTGCCATTTTGTGAGCTTCTTAGGGTTTGGTCCTCGTCCAAAAATTTTTTATTGCTCTTTGATATCACCCATAGTGTTGGTTGTAGAGGTAGCTATGTCATCCTGCAAAATTGAAGATGACAGCATTTAATGACCAGAAATGTTTGTACATTATATTAAAATGAGATTACCTACCATTATTGGGTTACCAAGGGTTAGGTTAATGTATATTGTGTTGGTCAACCACTTTTTAATGATTCTGCAATATTTTCCTTTTGTCCAGATTGATTGACTGCTGACATTCCTAAATTAAATATCATATAAAAGTATATAAACGCATGAGAAAAAATGCAATCAAAACGTCAACACTATCAACTAAACCAAACCATCTATTTTGTGGTTGATGGCAGCAAATTTGAGTAAGTAATTTGATAAATTATTTGATAAAATATACTAATACAACATAATTAAAAAATATGTTGAAACCTTTTCGATCACTCCATAGTTCATTTGTGGATAGAAGCATCAACATCAGCATCTGATCCACCTCAGTCCCATCTTCCTCTAAAACAAGCTTTAGATCGCCCACATTCACAGGATTCAAGCCAATTTTTTCATTCCCTATGTATTTAATAGAATTGGTTCACCATTTAATAGCAATATCTTTCTCGATGACATCTCTGCTGGGGTGTGGGTTAACCCATCATTTTTTTGGGACTAAGACTATATTATAACTAGAAATTGGCGTAAACAGGAAAGACCAAATCAACCTGATTTCAAACCTAGCTCCTAACATGATTTTTTTATTGTCTACTAACAGTTTTATATCATTCAACGGGGGTATTTAAAATACCCTAGAATTTATAAAGTTTCAGAATAAAATGTGGGTCTTAAAATATATTAAACACAACAAAGTACCCTACATGAAGTTCATTTTATATATTATATATTATGGCATGCCAAGACAGTATGTTTTATAAACTTTTAAAATATAGTGCGGTTCCATACCTTTCCTCGTCAGTTCTTCCAACAAATTCGCCACAACGATCACTTTTTTAGATCTATTTGCACTCCACACTTTACAGCCATTTTCGTCCAAGCACAAACCGCAAACATTTTCGCGCGTTTGTTTACGTTTGAAACGGGGCGTTTACCGTTGGAAACTGAAATGTTTCACCGCTCATGTGACGTGTCACATTGAAAAGCCTTAAGCTATTTTTGGCGCAACTGTCATGTTTTGATGTGCCTCCGTGCACGTTTCAATATTTCCAAGCCCATGATAATACATTTTAGTCACAAAAAGTATGAATATAAACAAGTTTGGTCGCTCTTACAATATCGTGAGCTTGGAAATACTGAAAAGTACACGAAAGCACATCAAAACATGAAAAATAACTGAATTAGGCTTTTCACTATAACACGTCACATGAGCAGTGAAACATGTCCGTTTCCAACGGTAAACGCCACGTTTCAAACGTAAACAAACGCGCGAAAATGTTTGCGGTTTTGTGCTTGGACGAAAATGGCTGTAAATGGCTTCATCTATAAGTAAAAATTGACTTTGAATGTTTTCAAACAATTAATAATTCATGAGAAATCGTGTTTTTACATACCTTTGCTGTTTCCGCCATTTTGAAAACCTCATGGAGAAGATTTGGCGACCGGGCCTTTTTGTCCCAGAAGTGGTCAAATGTCCCTTAATGTACTCTGTGATCACAGCATGTTATCAAATGTCCCCATACTCGGGCAAACATCACTGAGCAAATGCCCAACATTGGGGATGGCATCCTTTGTCAACCCCCTCGGGCTTAACATTGATAGGTGCATAATTTCACTCACATACTCGATTTTCCAAAATGATAAATTAATTACTAATGGTCAACAGCTGTAACTCAAAGGGTCAATATCACTTTTAACCCATTGAGGGTGCACCCTCCCCCTAATGAGTGAAATTGTCAGTTATATAAGATCATAAAGTAGGGTGCATCTTGGCACACTACCACCTAAAGGCTTAACAGGAAGCATATGCAGATAGTCTGATTAACAGGAAGCATGGGTAGATAGTCTCCCTTTCACAAATAAAATCGTCTAGATAATAATAAAGTAGGGTGCACCTGGGAACCTTGTCACTTAAAACTTGCCACTCATGTATAATTAATGAGATCATAGACCAATATATTTACAACTCCCTCCTGGCCAAAAAGGTACTAACTCTGGAATCAAAGGTAATATATAATATAGTCAATATAAAATTCATGGTGAAAAATTTGTTATCTCGAGCAGGATTTAAACTTGCTGGAGTTGGCTATCATAATCAAAACATGCTTTTCATATCATATAAAAAAATATTTCAAAGTTTTTGGCAATCTTGTCAATCAGTTATTTTAAGTAATCTGTGTAAAGTGGGAACAAAGTTATTAGTTTTTTAATTTCGAGCGGCTCAAACATTTTCTCTGACTATGAAAACAATTTGCAGACAGATCCGAAAACACCTTGCCGAGTCCATGATGAATGGGGATTGTTACACCCCCCCTCTAGCTACACCCCTGTCCTCCAGCTTCACATTACCCAGTTAATTAGAATATTTTAAACCAATCATGTGCAATCAGTACCATATCCAGGACATCAGTTCATCTACACTGCTGGAGAGGCTGTGGTGAATATGCTACAAGTTCAATTGATGAACAATTTTTTTAAAGATCTTGCAAATTTTCATATTTTGTACATGTTATGCTACACTTTGTTGGCATGCATAATATCATCTACTATATTATCTTAGGCCATTTACATGAACTCCTTTTTGCTGGGATGGGATAAAAGCTGTGATTAAAGAGACTAAAATGTTGTTGATTAGATCCTGTTGTTTAACAAAATGATCACTTTTGCAAGCAATTATTTGGCACAATTATATTAGGAAAACAATGCAATTCCCTGAATGAAAAACCATGACTTATTTCCACACACTAAAATCCTCCTGCCCCCTCATCTCATTTTCGCAAAGCGGGACCCATGCAAACAGCCCCCCTTTAAAATAGCAAAATTAGTCAAAATACATTTCAATATTTCTATTTAGTTGCCCTTTAAGAGTACACTGTTGTTAATTAATCAAAGAATCAGAACACAACCTATGTTACATTGTCACTTTGTATCTTAATTGTCAGAATAGAAATAATTCTTAATGTGTCAGAATAGAAATAATTCTTAATGCCATATTGCCCTTCTTGATGTTGTTTTTTTCTCATTTTTGTGCTGCAAAGACATAACAGGTGAGTATTAGAGGGGATTATTAGAAGGAAATTGATTAGAGGGGAATATTGAATATATTCCCTGATAAGAACAAAGGAAACCAAGCAATGTGAAAAATAAGTTATGTTGTGAGTAATTGTCACCTTCATCAATATTAGAAGAGTACACTGGATCAGGTAAGTTCTAGCATCTGATTGAATACCACCTGTTCAATGGTTCTACGGGTTTCATATTCCTTTAAACAGAATGGGCTTAAGAGGTATGCCAGATCACCTATCAAGTAGTTGGATACAGACTGGAAGATTCCAGCCAGGTTGCCAACCATGTAATTTGTGGTTTAGAGTTGAATTGGCAAATACTACCTTTGCATCATGCACACTTCCTGGCCACAAACCATGAATAAATCTTTCTAATCACAAACAGATTGCACATTAAGAGAATAAATTTGTCCCCAAGCCAATGGCACAGAGCACTGTTCCGGGCTATTTACCCCCGGGGAAAGCATATTAGCAAAGTCTAAAGTTCATCAATGTTTGCAGGTGTGGGTTACCATGAGTGTTTGGGTAAGTGGTCAGGATCACTGATCGCATACGATAGCTGGCTGTAATGAATAGTGAGCACTGATTGGCCCAATTTAAAATTGGCATATCCAGTTTAAAATTGGCATATAACAACTGCATGATGACATTTTAAAATTGGCATATCCAATTTAAAATTGGCGTATAACAACTGCATGACGACAGTGAAATAGCAAAATTTCTTGATTTGATGATTTCTTGCAAATCTCATTTTTGCAAGATTTTGTAAATTTCAAAAGCTTTTTGAGAAAAAATTTGACAGAATTGCTAAAAGAAGGGAGCAAAGGCACTAATATTAACAAAGGTAAGTTTGTTTTAAATATTGATGTATTGTTTGCTTTATAATTGTTTTAAAATCTGATCATTGCATACATTTTAAATGAACAAAGACAGCATATAATTTAAGTGTATCTTTATTTATTACCCTTTTTTATTATAATAAAATTTTTAAATAAAAAAGAAAGCAAAGTTATTTGCATGCAAGAATTTGAAATCATTTTATTGCAAACTCAAAGTTAATCTATAAGGCGTAAAAAAAACCTGTGGTTCCGGTATCATATCGTGAAAAAATTAGGGTCGGTAGGTCGGAAATAAATTTTTTTTTAAATATTTTTTTCATGGTTTTGGCAGTTTTTTGCTGGGCGATTTGCAGTAGAGTCCCGATATCAATATTAACTAGAGATGCGTATTTCCTATGGACGAATTTAGGCAATTTGGTTCAATAATTAGTGTGACAACAGACGCCATTTTGGCACGCTGTATGAGCAGCCCGCAACCACCTGGAGAAAATAAGGTCGTACGGTCAATCGCACTGAAAAAATAATAGGGTCGGCAGAAAAAAAATGGGGTCGGTGGGGAACCGGAACCACAGGTATTATTTTTTTTACGCCTAAAGGCAGTTTAGTTATAAACATTTTGCGAAGCGTTTGTGGTTGAATGTTGCCTTAAATTGAACATTATGTTACATATAATAACATACCTAACATATAAATGTTTGAGAAATTGATAATTTTGTAAATAAAAGAGAGATTTTTATAATGGGCAGACAAGCACACAATTTGGCAATAATTAGAGATGTTAAGATACCTCAGTTCTGGGTTTACAGGTACGAGTATCACCATTTTGTTTACTAATTTTTGCTGATGTCAGCATTTTTACCTGTAATTTCTACTCGTTTCCACACTGTAAACCATGGTCTGCATGTAAAAGACAAATGGTACAGGTGTTGTCTGTTTACTATTTGTGGGCCATTTAAGTAGCAAAAAACTTCAACATCATACACAAATAAATAATGCAAATAAATAATGCAAATATGCTCGTCAAAGTGTTCAACAATCTGTGGCAAACCTCGACAGCGAAAGTTACAATTCTCTGATCGGGGTTTTCTCACACTGGAGTATCTTGAATTTCTTAAGTTACAAGTTGTTCCCTGATTTACGGGTACGGGTATATCACCTGTACCTGTAACCTGGGGTATCTTAACCTCTCTATTGTGCAGTTAGCGAAGAAAACACCATATTGACAGTATGTGTAGACTTTCACACAAGTATGAATATCAGATATGGAGGCCATCTGTGAAATTAAATGCTGATAGCTAAAAATTTTGAATTTCTATTTTGAACTTAACTATCTATTTTGAACTTAACCATAATAATCTATTGTATACAGTCAGAAAATAAAGGAACTTGTACTGATTTCCATTGTTTATCAATAACAAATTAAACTAGTTTGAGAGACTAGACCTAATTCAACCAGAATGAATAATTTTTAATATTTTATTGTGTAGGTAAAAAATGAGTGATGATCCATGTGCTGAGAATTTATTGAATGCAGTGACTCATGAGAACACATCAAATTTTTCTCAGCAAGTTTCTGTAAATAGCTCAATGATTAGCCCAACAGCAGCATCTGAACACAATAGAAGTGGATCACCACAGGTACACAGACCTCAGCAAGTTCCTGAACATAGTCCAATACTTAGCCCAACAACAGCCTCACAGATCCCCAGACCAACTGCAGTCTGAGGAACACAGAAATTTGGTTGGCTATAGACCACCATCCAATAGTAAGAGAAACAGTAGACAACCTAGCTCCTTTGGAACAGAAAAGGATAACAACATCCAGTGTGGAACTCATGGTCCTGTACATTTGTTTACCAAAGATAAATGCAACCACAGCCCCATTTGCAGCAGAATGGGTTGGATGAGTGAACAATATGTTTTAATAAAGGTGGAAATAGTGAACATGTCCACAACAAGATATTGGTGGATATAAAATCGTACAAACAGGAGTGTGGCAATTACAATTTGATGCTCCTTGCTATTCGAACTGGTGGATATACAGTTTCATTTTTAAAATCAACAATAGGCTCAGCCAAGGGGTACATACGACCTTACCAAAAATACATTATTGATAACAGCACTTTCACCAATTAAAAAACTCATTAATAATTCATGAAGAAAACACAAAGAAAAATCATAAGTGTGTCGTATCTGTATTTATAATATAGCATTTGTAAATTCTGAACGCTGATTGGCTAAGAGCCGTGTTGATATAACTCCATGTCAACACGGGAAATTTTCCGCCGCTTGTAACACGGAAATTGTTCTTATTCTTTGGGCTTTTGACATTGCTATATTATAAAACAAATATAAAACATTTTTCCGTATTGATATATAGTTATATCAACACTCGTGGAAGTTGGGAAAACTCGAAATTGTATGAAAACACTCCGCCCTTCGGGCGTCGTGTTTCCACACAATTTCTCGTTTTCCCAATTTCCACTCGTGTTGATATAACTGTATATCAACACGGAAAATGTTTTATATTTGTTAAATGTGATACAGATTTATGTTGATTTACATAAACTTTAACTTTGATTTTCTCGGCTTAGACAACGTTTATTTTTAAAATTACTTCGCCAATGAACTCATTCGCGTCCGTGTTGTATCGGATATACAAACTCTCTCGCCTTCGGCTCGAGTTTGTATATCCGATACAACACGGCCGCTCATGTTGTAAATAGTACTAAGACCATAGTTAATATAATGGGAGGGTTTGGAAAGCTCGGTCACGTGTCAAAATATGTTGTGTTTTCTCTTACGTCACAGTTATGGTGCACATCCGCTATTGATTTTAGTAAAAAACATTACGTAAATGTGTGGTTCAATCTTACAAAATGTAAATTTTGCATAGTTTTATGAAGATGCCGGGGGCAAACTGCTCCATTTTTGGTTGCAGAACTAATAGACAACATACTGGAGTCGGAATTTTTAGGATTCCATCAGGAAATGATGAGAGATCGAAAGCTATTCGTGATGAGTGGATAAGGGTAATTACAAAGGATCATGTTGTTGATGCAAATTTTCGTAAACAAATCGAATCTGGCAATGTTTATGTGTGCGAGAGACATTTTAAAAAGGAGATCGAATGTCGTAAGTATTAAGCAATTTTCCTAGCTTATAATATTATTTTCAATCCAGAACAGACTACACCGAGCGAGAAGTCATGTTGCATATTAAACAATGCTTCATTGTTGACATAACACAACTCATGAATATTAAATTTTGACCCCGCTTGTCTTTGTGTTTAATAACTGACCAATGTAATTATTTTTACTTAACTTAGGTTCTGTTAGATTAATTGTAAAATCGTTTCGAAAACAAAATGTAATATAGACTTTGTGTATTCTTTTACAGCTGGAAAACGTAAACGCTTTGTTGTTGGAGCTATTCAGACACTAAACCTGCCAGTCAAAATCATTTCGCCATCTCCAGTTACAACGAGGCGAGAACTAGTGCGTCCTGAATTAGCGGTGGCTGTACTGTCGTTTACAGAAACATTGAACATTTCAGGAAAAAGATTTTGGCATTAAAATTAAGAGGATGGTGCAAGACTGAAAACAATGATGATGTGCTATTTGAGCTGTTCAATCCAATCCACATCGTGCCCAAAATTGTCCTTGCGTGTGGATTCTGGGTTAAATTTCACCATGGGAGCATTCAATTGGCTGCTTCCAGACAACCATTTCATATACACCAATACGAAACGGTCCATGCAATACAATCTTCTCACCTCTGTTATTTCTACTTTGGAGGAACTGACAGTTTGCGACGGACTTGCTAATAATGAACTAACAAGCCCATTCATTTGTGACCCTAGTTCCTCCACAGATCCCACTCAAATCATCTGACACACTGTGCCCATCCACCATTTCAAGCCACTGTCTTCATCAGAGCTCAGGATTGTGAGGTGTTAACCAACAGTGATCGCTGCTCAACTTGTGTAGAGACTGAGAAGCACATCAGCCAAAAAAAGGAAAGGTCGGAAAAGAAAATGTCTGAACCAGTAAAGAGTAAAGCACCCTTAACTACTACCAGCAAGAGTAGACTAGTAGCTACGGTCCAAAAGAAACGTCTTGTCTGTAAAGAACTTGAGAGTCGTTTGACAGACCTAGAAAAGGAGATTGCAAAGAACAGCATTTCTGTTGACGAAAACTTGGAGAAAGACATATTTTCCATCCTTGCTGATCGCAGCGATGAAGATGTTTCACCCCACATGAAATTCTTCTGGGAGCAGCAGAGAAAGTTGCTTCAAACACCTACCTTTGGACGGCGTTACCATCCCCACCTCATCCAATATTGCTTATCGATCCATGCTAAGTCACCTGCAGCATATCAAGAATTACGGGAGTCTTGGTTCTACCAGGTGAGAGGACATTAAGGGATTATCGGAACTTTTTCAAACCACAGCCAGGTTTCAACTCAGAGAATGTTCAAAGACTTCAGGACATGACGCATGAATACTTTGACGTTCAGAGGTATGTGGTAATCTCTTTTGATGAAATGAAGATACAGTCGAAACTAGTCTTCAACAAATTTACCAACGAACTTATTGGTTTTGTTGACCTTGGGGAAGAGGAACTGAATACCAGCAGTTTTGGTAGTCATGAACTGGCTACTCATGCTCTGGTATTTTTTGTTTGAGGTGCTGCTGTTAAGTAACATCGTTTCTGAAGCCCTACAGCATCATTAAACATGGCAGATAAAACTGCTAAGTTTTGCAAAATGATGAACAGCTTTTTTGATTGTGCCAATATCCGCTCCACCAAAGAATCCTTACAAAAGCGCAACGATTTTCTGGCTCCATATCGAAGCACAAATGATAAGCGATTCCAATGGCTGGACAATACCTTCATAAAGTACTTGGAGGATTGGAAAGCAGCAATTGAGTCGAGGGAAGGGGAATATACTGCTGTTTTGCGGGATATAGCACCATCATCAGTTGAAGGTAATGTAGCAGGCAGGCATTCTGGGAAACGACAGAAGTGGTTCAGCATCAGTGATGAACCTTTGCCAAAACGAAAATCAAACGAAAAACAGTCAAAAGAATAGAACATTTCTAAACTGACTTTGCCTAATAACATTTTGTAGATAGTTGAGAATTTTGCATGGACAATGAGAGGTAGTCCATTACAGTATTATTACAAATGCATGAATTGGTGCAGGTTGTATTGATGCTTCAATCTTGATGGATTTTTTCAAGCTGAAGAAGGCATTACTCAAAATGTTGACTATATTATAGTTTTAGAAAATCCTTTGAGACTGCTGCACATTATATAGACACCTTTCACAGTTTCAATGCTTTCTCAACAGCAAGTAAACAAATTAATTGCCATTTGCAAATATCTTCAATAGTCCATAGTTCAGACCCCCCTTTTTAACCTCCCCTAAAATCCCCCCCCCTGTTTTTAAACTTATTTAATTCGCAAAATATACGGAAAACAGACGTGAAATTAAACATAAACAAAAATTTACAAAAATATAAAGTTACTTTCGTTTTGTACATATTCGGGTAGTCCGAGCCCCTGCAGTTCCTCGAACCAGTCTCTTTCTCAGTAATAATCAGTTTCTACTCTGGAACATCCTCCCGCCCGATGCAGGAAGTGCATCAACTTTCATTAACTGACAAATGTCAACAAACTAGCTAATTATTGATCAATGTTTACTTTAGTCCTGCTGCTATGTCAGCATCACAAGTTTCTAACACGTGTAGTCTTTGTACAGGACGACGGGTATGGTGGCCTGAGGGCAAACGTAACGTTACAGATCGGATCAGACCATCTCTTCCTTCATGCGTTGCCTCAACACGGGCTTTCAGCCATTGTCCTCTTGGAACATTATCCTCACTTACGAGTACTACATCACCAACATGCATTTTTCGACCAATATCGATCCATTTCTTCAAAGTGGTTAACGACTTAAGATATTCCGCATTCCATCATTCCCAAAATCCATTTACCAAACGTTGATGATATTGTAATCGTTTCTTTAAGGCGTTGGAAGTGTGCTCCGTAACTTTCGTATCTTTGCTTGGAAACGCCTGTAAATTTCTCCCAATGAGAATCTGGGCTGGCATAAGGGCCTTTAAATCATTTGGTTCAGCTCCAATGTAAGTAAGAGGACGACTGTTAATTTGAGCCTCGATCTCCGTCAGAATGGTGGTCATTTGCTTGGCATCTAACATTGCATTTCCAAAGATTTTCTTCAGCGGCAACTTAAGAGGCAGTCTCTGTAAGAACCTCATGACCTCTTTGGATCAAGAAATAGATTTCTCTCAAACTTTGTACTTGAGATTGCCTTTATAAGGTTTGTTTCAAAATGCATTTTGTTTTCAGTCTAATTGCATTTTGGCAAAGTTCCAGGGGGGTCAAGTTGAGGGCTAAAATTATGATTTTTGCTGTTTCTCAATAGTGGATTTTTACTGATTTTTAAACCTCTCTACATCAAACAAAAATAATGATAAAACTAAATCCTTCCACACAATAGTAGCCTTATATGTCTTAAGTAAAAAGGTATCTACACATTTTTCAAATATGTTTTCTAAATATAGAAATGACATCATTCATGACAGACTAAAATAGAGATTTCCAAGTTCCTTAAAAATTGTTGAAATAAAAATCCTAAAATTCAAAAGTTAGACTTGCCATGAATGTAATATTATTTGTATGGTGAGATTAAAGGTTGGTCTTACATAATGTAAAATTAAATATTGCGGCCTGTAAATTTTGGGGGTACTACAGGCCAACAAATAATCAACATTTTCGACTTTCGGTAGTTTAGATCAAATAAGAACGTTCACCGTTTACTGCAAACTCTGCTTTCAAAGACCGAAATTTTACTTATTATTTTGACCTAGAACAGTGATAACATTCATTTGACCTTTGCTGTTGTCTAAAGTCTTTTAGGAAAATGCACTGACACAGGCATTTCCGTTAAGTATGGGCCGTATTGTATAAATAATAAAAATTTTCTAGCTGAATATAAACAAAGACAAGTTATAAATTTGCAACAGGTAAAGATGTCCGTTAGTCAACAAATTATCGAACATCGATTTACTTTGAAGATTATTTAAAAAGTCAAGAGAAAACCTACCCCAATATAATTTATACAAAGATAATATATGCCTCGATCAACGAATCGATTGTCAGATGACATATTATTTGACATTCGTCAGCTGCCATTATTCTTTAGGGTTTTAAATTAATCACTTTCGACATCTTATGATTATTTTTGACACAGTCTCATATGTATAAAATCTTGCTTCTTTTGTCAACAGGCAATGCTAGTCATTCCTCCATTGTTATAACTCAATTTTGTTATTGTTATATTGCGGAAGCCGCTGACCAGCCAAATAATTCGGCTGTCAGAAACACGTGCAACATGTCGCGAATTGTTTGCTTTCGAAACTGCAGGTCAAACTTGGCAAAAGTTTGTCAATGTTTGGTAAAAGTTATGAAATTTTTCCCAATTCTAAAAATTTCTAATATTTGGTTATATTAATTTGTCCGGTTATATTTTAAATTGACATAATATATTTACCGCCTACTTGCAACCAAATTCCTGTAAATAGAACAAGAGCCCCTTGATGAGCTAAAAGCTCTTGGGCAATTGTTAAATCTTTAATATTAAAATGTGTTTATTTAAAATATTTGTCCGGAAATAATGTTTTAACATTAAAGCTTAAAAGCTTTGCTCCGTCAAGAATGAAACAGACTAAATCGAATTTTTCTAAATACATAAATATTTCTATATTTGGAAAATATATCAGAAAAATTTATAAATACTTTGTCAGTTAAGGCATATAAAGCTACTATTTTTCGGAAGGAAGTAGGTTTATCATGATCTTTGTTTGATGGAGGCAAAATCTTCCAAGGCTACAACGGCTGATCGCATTATTAATCCACCCCCCCCCACCCCTCCCCCCCTATTGAGGACATGTGGAATTTCCAATGGCCCCCTGCAAGAGTGAACCAAAAATGAAGGAATTTCCATGGGAGGGTCCACATTTTAAAGCAAATCTGCGGAAATTCCAAAGGGTAGGTAAGAAAAATGAGTAAAACGTATGGAATTTCCATGGGAGGTCAAGAATGGAAAAGAAATTCCAAAGGATAGGATAAAAATCAGCAAGGAATTTTCCAAGCGATAGCTACTAATCAAAGAATCAGTACGGAATTTCCACTGGCTAGATCAAAAACTGTCAAGGAATTTCCATGGGATGGATTAAAAGATCATAAAAAATTTGCGGAAATTCCATGGGCATGCATGGCTAAAATTCAATTAAAATCTGCGGAAATTCCACAGGGGAGGCTAAAAATTCGCTTAAAATATCTGGAAATTCCAGGGGGGGGGACCAAAAATGGATGTCCTCAATAGGGGGGGTGCGGATTAATAATGCGACGAGCCAACGTTTGACAGCCGAATTATGTGGTTGGTCAGCAGCTTCCGCCATAACAATAACAAAATGGAGTAAAAACAACAGAGAAATTGACTAGCATAGGCTGCTGATGAAGACTAATCAAGATCTATTTACAAGACTATGTCTACAATAATCATTAAGATATCGAAAGGGATTAACACTAAAGAATAATGGCAGCTGACGAAAGTCAAATAGTAAGTCAAATGACAATCGGGGTCATTCAATGACAAGGTTGTCGTTCGAGGCATATCTTTGTATTAGTTAATTTAATATTGGAGTACTTTTCTCTTGACTTTTAAAATATAAAACTAATAAATCTTCAAAGTAAATCGATGTTCGATAATTTGTTGAGTAACGGACATCTTTACCTGTTGCAAATTTATAACTTGTTTTGTTTATATTCAGCTAGAAAATTTTTATTATTTATACAATACGGTCCATACATAACGGGAAATGCCTGTGTCAGTGCATTTCCCTAAAATACTTTAGACAACAGCAAAAGTCAAACGAATGTTATCACTGTTCTGGGTCAAAATAATAAGAAAAATCTCGGTCTTTGAAAGCAGAGTTTACAGTAAACGGTGAACATTCTTATTTGATCTAAACTACCGAAAGTCGAAAAAGTTAATTATTTAATTTATTTGTTGGCCTGCAGTACCCACAGAATTTACAGGCCGCAATATTTAATTTTACATTATGGAAGACCAACCTTTAATCTCACCATACAAATAATATTACATTCATGGCAAGTCTAACTTTTGAATTTTAGGGGTTTTATTTCAATAATATTTAAGGAACTTGGAAATCTCTATTTTAGTCTGTCATGAATGATGTCATTTCTATATTTAGAAAACATATTTGAAAAATTTGTAGATATATTTTTACTTAAGACATATAAAGCTACTATTGTGTGGAAGGATTTAGTTTTACCATTATTTTTGTTTGATGTAGAGAGCTTTAAAAATCAGTAAAAATCCACTATTGAGAAACAGCAAAAATCATAATTTTAGCCCTCAACTTGACCCCCCTGGAACTTTGCCAAAATGCAGTTAGACTGAAAACAAGATGCATTTTGAAGCAACCCTTATAAAGGCAATCTCAAATACCAAGTTTGAGAGAAATCTATTTCTTGATCCAAAGAGGTCATGAGGTTCTTACAGAGACTGCCTCTTAATTTTCTCTGTAATCTGGGTATGTAGTAATCTAATTTTATGCCAGTGTAATGTGCTGTTTTTCAAGGACATTTCGATGCAGTTATCGGTTTAAATATACCTAAAAAATAAAAATAAAATAAAAATAAATATAAATTATATTTAACATAGGTCCTATCACTTTGGCCTGAATGTGTGTAAACGTGCTTTCAACGATTTTAAATTTTTAATTTTATGTAAATTTGCAAATGTCTACAAAAGTCAAATCGGGAGGTAGCCTCGCATGGGCTATTATGGCCCGTTCGTTATTTTCCCGTTTAGGAACTGCATGTTTGTTGTATTTGTACCTTATTAATGTAATATATTAAGTTCCTAATAAAGCTGTTAAAAAAAAATAAAAAAATAAATAAATAAAATTCCCGTTAAGATAAGACAATTATCATACGGCCTACTTTTACAGGAACGCAAATTACAATTGCAACTTTCATGCTTAGTTTTCTCAGTTATCTGGCATGTAGTAATCCAATTTTATGCCAATGTAATGTGCTGTTTCTCAAGGGCTTTTCAATGTAGTTATCGGTTTAAATATACCTAAAATTCTCTTTAAGATAAGACAAATTCCGTATGGTCTACTTTTACGCAAACGCATGCATGAATGCATGCAAATTATCTAAACAAGGGCGAATAATGTTCTCGACCAATCAGAGCATTTGTTTACCTTTTGCGCTAAGCCAATCAGAACGCGTACATTTTTACTACTTCCGGTTTAAACGCGTATTTCAACACGAAAATTAGGGTCGTAAATAAAGCCTTGGAGGCGCCTGGTTTTTTAATTTTTTAAGCTTATTTCAATGAAATCCTATAAAATATAAAATTTTCGAAAAAGTTGCCGCTGGGATTTGCGTTTAATCGCTTAGTTTTGGAATTACCCTCATTCAAAAAACGGCGTATGCAAGGTCACTCTCGAATAGGTCAAAAACGTTAACAAATGATTCTAAAGAAAGTGAAGCGAAGGCTTATATCCGGAAATATTTCAGAGGCCTGAGGCATTTGAGAAAGAAGGCATATTTACTGCGACTTTGGAGTTAAATTTTCTGGCAATCGGTCACTACACGACTATAATTTTGCCAGCAGTGGCATATAGCACTAATGTAAAGTAGAAGAATCGCCGTTTCAATGAATGGCAATTTCTTTTCGAAATTTATGATTGCCTCGTTGGCCCAAGCTTTTGACTTGATGTTTGGTACTTGGTAGGTTTAATACACTCGACCCAGTCGAGGTGGAAAGAGTGTCCACAGCCTCGAAAAATGCGACACAATGAACTATCACGACTGCATTCGATCACTGATTTTTATATCAGTCCATTCGATCTTATCACATTGTAATAATATCTAACATATTATATATTTCATGCTTTATGATTCATATACATTTTATAGGCTGTCCGTATATTAAAAGATTCATATTTTTTCGAGCACCAGATTGTCAGTCAACAGAGGGTTACTTATTTGCTTTAGTACGCAGTTTTCCCTATGTGTTTTATATAATTGTAGAAAATAGAAAGACCACAGTGTATATTTTTAGGATCATGGAATCCACAACTATTTACTAAAGCATATAAAACTCGTAATAGTTATGCAGTGTAATTATACTGAACTTACATTGTTGGATTAGGAGGTCTTTCCACTGATGAAAAGCCCAATGGAAGAACTTGGTTGGTGAAAACCATGCTTCCAAACAAATTTAGTAGTTTCCACTTTCTTGTCTCCTTGTTTTGCCCATGCACTCTTGACAGCAACACAGCCTTACAAGGATTATCTTGGAGAACTCCAATTTCTTGGTAAGAAATTCAACGACCTTGACCTTTCAAATTAGAGATTGACTTCTGCCTAGCACAGGTGGCACAGTCTGCATTGATTGGAATGATTGCATTTCTTGTTTACAATTAAGTGTCAATCATTCGCCTTTAGACTAACTTGCTCACCATTGTCAGTGCCGAGAGGGGGGGGGGGGGGG